GGGAAATGGGGTCATTAAGTGGATTATCAGCCTCCCCTACAATCTTACTTATGGGAATCATTGCCCGAATAGGTCCCTTCGGGTATTCAGACAGCTCCATCTCTAGTCAGATGAACTCTGGATTTACTAGGAGCACCGAAGACTCTAAAGTGTTACAGCATTTCTCCATATTCCTTATTGTATACACAATAAGTTGAACCAACTGGCCATGTGCAAAGTGAGACAGTGAGCAACAGCAGGCATGACATAGTCATGAACACCATAGTGGGCTGGACTAAGCTCATGGCTAAGGACATGTACTGCTTACTCAGAGGGCCTAAGTTCAGTTCCCAGCACCGTGTCCAGCAGTTCACACCATGAAACTTCAGCTCCTCCAGGGCATCGAATGCTCTCTTCTCCAATCTGTAAGCGTCTAAACTCAACAAACACACATATTTAATTAAAAACAGGAAATCTTTTTGGAAAAGGACAGTAACAAATTTCTAAGAGCACCATCAGCTGCAAAGTCACATTCAGGAGGTGAGCTTCTTGAGTCTCACATCTTATTTTTCTCAATGGTTACCGGTTAGATTGTCTTGCCCTAAGAGTCCCAAGTACTAATTTGCTTTTCAAGTCTTGTACTCTTTGGCCCTGCAAATTTTCAAAAGATGGCTGTGGGCCAAGAGCAATTCTTCGTTCTGCCACTTGTCGCTCAGCCAAACAAGAACAGCTCTCTGTGAAGCACAGGCCGTTTGGAGGGTGTTTTCAGCAGGACGACTGGCCTCCAGACCAAGCTGGGCCATCCTGCCGGAGCCACTGCCTTTTGACTCTGTGACTCTCTCTCTCTTCATCCTCACCTCCCACAGCCATACACACAAAACAGCCCGTGTTCTGTCTTACAACCTAGAAGAAATATTAACCTGGTCCCACCAAGAGTGATAAAGATGAACAGTGTCTTTGCCGGCCTGCCGCTGAGAAGCATCTCTGAAATGCCTCCCCCGATGTCCTTTTCGTGGGTCTGTTCATCCCTGTGCCAGCTCCTAACAAACTGAGCATGAGCTGCTTTGTTTTCCTAAGTCTGCTGCAGGATAGTCTTCAAGTAAGAAGTTCAGATCTTGGCTATGAGAAACGTGCTTGGCTCAAGGCTACCCTGACCGGGCACGGTCCCAGAGTGAGCTCATTCTTCCTCAGCCCTGATGGCTCCTCAGTCAAAAATCTCCTTCCTTGATCTCTCAGCCCACTTGGCTATTTCCATTAATGTCCACTCCATCATAAACAAAACTGAACTTGGCTTCGCAAACTAGCTTGTCTTTGCAAACACTGTAACTCGTCTCCAAACCCCAAGAAGGGAAAGTCAAAGGAAAACATGTGACTCTGTAGAACCATCCATCACTGCCCTTTACCTGTGGGCTAGAAAGTCTTGGAACTCCCCTCACAAAGTATCTGTATATTTATTTTTTCTCCTTTTTGATTGTAGCCAATTCAATACTGGAACAAAGATTTACTGCCTTATGTCTGTTACATTACCTCATGCTGATTCTCAGCTGCCTTCCTGTTTCTGAGTCTTCCTACACACTGCTACCAGAATAATCTAGATTGAATATTCTCTTCACTCCCTTCCAGGTCTAAAATGTTCACAAAATGGATCTTCTAATACTGCTCCTCTCAAGCAGCTGCCTGGTACACGGAGTAACTCTGAGAAGATTGCCACCTCCTAACTCCCAACTCTAGCCTCACTCCAGGCAAATCACTGTTTCATTACAAACTACTCTTGTTTGCTTGCTTGCTTGCTTTGTTCCATTTTGTTGTTGTTGTTGTTCTTGAGACAGGGTCTCTATGCAGCCCTGACTGTCCTGGAACTCATGTGTAGACCAGGCTGGCCTTGAACTGGGAGAATCTGTCTGCCTTTGACTCTGGAGTGCTGGGAATCAAAGGTGTGAGCCACCACGCCTAGCCCCAAACTACCTTTAAAGCACCAAAGGACTTATCTAGACAAGTCACTCTCCGCCCCTCCCGAAGCTCGGGACTGCAGAGGTATTGAAAATCTGTTCTTCACACTAGCACAGAACCTACCCCCTGCCAAGTCCAATTGCAAATACTCAACTTCTTCCTCCTGTTAAGTCCAACAAACTAGGCCATCATCAGAACACAGCTGTGTCTCTGAGTTCCCTTTGAAGCCTCTGCCTTAAGAGACAAGAACATGGACGAGACAACTTCAGCCACGCCCAATCCACAGTCCAACAACCTACACAGATCCCAGCATAGCTAGAAGAAATGAAGCCCAACATTTGTAGATGTCTACATCATGTCATGATGTCATGAAAACCCCTAGACTGTTGTTTTATTCTTCACTCCTGTGTCTTCAGAAGGAGCAACAGTTATGTAGGGTACATAACCTGTGCACTGTATATTTCCATACACTGGTAAGTTTAGCATTTCTGGAATATTTAACATCTGCCCAATATCATTCTTATCTCATTAACTCCTAAGGAAGAAGTGAGTGGCAATTAGCTATCTGTTTCACATACAATAGTTACATTTCCCAAAATAACTTCAGCATTCTAAGTGGGAACCATACCTAGTACGTTCATCAAAATCTCTGTGAGATCTATCATCCTGCTAAGTTCAAAAACCTATGCCTGTGACAGCCCATCAGAAAAGCCAATATACAACATCTTAGAATGCATGCCTATCCAGTCGTGTATTGGCAAGGACTGGGCATGGTGCCGAGGTTTAATCACCCAGTGCCCATATCTGAAAGATCAAAGACTAAATTAAGTAGCCTAAGGACCCTTTCTACTTTCAAGCTCTATATCCATTTTTTTTTTTTTTTATGCATGACTTATTTGGGATGCCAATGGCTGTTTTAAAAAAAACAATGTTTTACTCCGAAACAGCAAATTGTAGACTTTTTTCCCCTAAGACAGACAATGACTCTGAAGATGATCCGGTCTTGAGCATCCATCCTTGAGTGATTGACCCACAGTTCAGGTTCCTGTCATCAGGACAAAATGTTACCACAAGGCTGCCACCCATGGGCAGCCAGTTGACATGCCAGCATGTCAACTGGTGGTGTCATTAGTTCAAGACTTGCTTAAGCAGTCATATTGTTGGGATTTCACAGGTGGAGCTTTCCTGTCGTGTCTAAAAGATTGCATTCTCTTACAATTTTTTCACAGCTTCTTCTACAATGTTCCCTGAGTCTTGGGCATAGGCATTACTAATGTATCAACCCTATGACCAGTTGTTCTCTGCGTCTTGACCAGCTGTGGTTTTCTCTAAACAGTCTCCATCTAGTTCAGAAAGAAGCTTCCTTGATGAACATTGAGAACTACAGGTACCTGTGAATGTAAGACATACATACAAACGACACTAAACAGATGCAGCAGACTGCATTTATATATTTACACACACACGCACACACACACACACACACACACACACACACACACACCAGTAATATTTGAAGAAAAAGAGGCCATGAATTTGAGAGCAAGTTGGAGGCATGTGGATGATTGAAGCCGGGGAAACAATGTAATTATATTTTAATTTTAAAAGTTGTTTTAAGAAAAGAATGTAAACTCCCATTTAAATATTTTGTAAGCAAACAAAACGCTTTTAAATCACACAAAAGATAATAATAGAAGACCTTAGAGGGGATGCAGCCAAGGATGCAGAGCCTAAGTGCCCGGCCTGAAGGGAACGAAGAAGGGCAGTGCTAGTCTGGAGAAAGGTGGTAGTGTCGCAGTCAGAGCCACAGGAACTGTAAACAACAACCTGAAAGGGCAAAGCGTCTTTCTTTCCATCCCATCAGACCTTAAGGGCCCAGAGTATTGATACTTGCTGAATCGTAAAACCACTTCTAACAAAACCAGATGCAAGAGACAGAATCCAATGATTTCCATTTCCACAGTCGGTACTATAAAGGGAAAATAAGTTTGAACTACATACAGGAAACAAAACCTACAGTCCAGATGTGGAAGAGCTACAAAGTGCATGGCTTTTAATGGCTGGGATATAGGCAATGAGAACCCAGAGGCCCAGAGGCCAAATGGAATGTATTTAAGAAGGCGCTATGGCCCTTCTTTCCCTATGATGCCAAATTACCTGACACAGTGAACCACGCTATGCTACCTCAGTGTTTATTGTGTCTAAATATTCTGATGTATTGGGATTGGTAAATAGAAATCATACACATTTACCAGGTAGAACATGTTGCTTTGAAATGCCTATCCCTTTTGGAACACTCAGTCAAGTTCACGTATGTATCGCGTCTCAAAATTAACCCCTCTGTGATCAGAGCCCTTGGAATCTACTCTCAACAGTTTTGAAGACTACGGTACATTGTTATTATGCATAGCTACCATATTATACAATAAACCTCTGAGGCTTATTTCTCTACTGGAAATTCTGTATCCTTTGTTTATTGGTTTTCAACCTTTGTAGCCAATAGGCAGAGCATGTAAGACATGAAGTCCTGGAATGAAATGCAAATGACTTCAAGTTTATAGGTGATTAAAAAATAAATCTCATGACTCAAGGGATATGGAGAATGAAAAAAAGGAAAGAAAGAAACAAATAGAAGAAAAACACACCACCTTCTTCCTCAGATAGGTGGGGAGTAGAGAACTCATACCTAACGGTGATAGACCAGGAAGGCACATGGAATTATATCCTCCTAAATTATTACAGGTATCGAGCAGAAGGATTAAGTACCAAACTAACTTTTATGAGGAGGAGAGAAGAATCCCTGTCTTTATGAAAGGAAACAGTAGCCCAAGATGAAACAGCAGTGCTTGTCATAGTGTGCCTGTGTTAGAAAGAGAGCCCCAGTGGAGTGAGGATGCATCTGCAGGACGGAGAAACACTCAGTTGGCTGGCAGAGAAGATTTCAGTTGTCCATGCACACTTCTTCCATGTCCATGCACACCTCTCTCTGTCCATGGGCACCTCTCTGTCCATGCACACCTCTCTCTGTCCACACACACCTCTCTGTCCATGCACACCTCTCTGTCCATGCACACCTCTCTCTGTCCACGCACACCTCTCTCTGTCCATGCACACCTCTCTCTGTCCACACACACCTCTCTCTGTCCATGCACACCTCTCTCTGTCCACACACACCTCTCACTATCCATGCACACCTCTCTCTGTCCATGCACACCTCTCTCTGTCCACACACACCTCTCTGTCCACGCACACCCTCTCTGTCCATGCACACCTCTCTCTGTCCATGCACACCTCTCTCTGTCCATGCACACCTCTCTCTGTCCACGCACACCTCTCTCTGTCCACGCACACCTCTCTGTCCACACACACCTCTCTGTCCATGCACACCTCTCTGTCCATGCACACCCTCTCTGTCCATGCACACCTCTCTGTCCATGCACACCTCTCTCTGTCCATGCACACCTCTCTCTGTCCACGCACACCTCTCTGTCCATGCACACCTCTCTGTCCATGCACACCTCTCTGTCCATGCACACCTCTCTCTGTCCACTCACACCTCTCTGTCCACACACACCTCTCTCTGTCCATGCACACCTCTCTGTCCACACACACCTCTCTCTGTCCACGCACACCTCTCTGTCCATGCACACCTCTCTCTGTCCACACACACCTCTCTGTCCACACACACCTCTCTCTGTCCACGCACACCTCTCTGTCCACACACACCTCTCTCTGTCCATGCACACCTCTCTCTGTCCACGCACACCTCTCTGTCCATGCACACCTCTCTCTGTCCATGCACACCTCTCTGTCCACACACACCTCTCTCTGTCCATGCACACCTCTCTGTCCATGCACACCTCTCTGTCCATGCACACCTCTCTCTGTCCATGCACACCTCTCTGTCCACGCACACCTCTCTCTGTCCATGCACACCTCTCTCTGTCCATGCACACCTCTCTCTGTCCATGCACACCTCCCTCTGTCCATGCACACCTCTCTGTCCACACACACCTCTCTGTCCATGCACACCTCTCTCTGTTCATGCACACCTCTCTCTGTCCACGCACACCTCTCTCTGTCCATGCACACCTCTCTCTGTCCATGCACACCTCTCTGTCCATGCACATCTCTCTGTCCACGCACACCTCTCTGTTTTGAGAGGTTTTGTTTCTTTTATTTCTATGTGTACCTACACCTTCATAAAAGTTATGAAAACAGATCAGGGCCAAGGCTGCCAGTTCTGAGCCAAGCTGAAGTGGTTCACTAGAAAGACCACAGCATAAGTCTAGCTCAGGACCTGTTTGTTCTTCAGAAAAAAGAATAATGATAATGATAGTGATGATGCTCTTAGACCATAAAACAAAGCCGTTTGAAATACACACAAAGCATACATGGAAAGGGGGAAGAGAACCATAGGAATGACTTAACAGAAGCACCATGCCCATCTGGTTCAGACCAGGAGATGTGTTATGATTCAAAGCTGATGGTCCAATCAATAAAGACACAACTCAGAAGAAAGTATACATACGCTTTAAGAGTGATGAACAGAAAGGCAAGTTACTCTTTAGTTAGCAGAATAGCAGTCCAGATCCTAGGCAATCCTCCAGACCACAGAGAGAATTGTCCTGTCCTGTGTAAATAGTTTGTGAAAGATATCCACTCATGGGGTCTGCTTCAGTATCACCAGCTAACCCAGATTAGGTTCTGTACTCTGGCCATCTGGCACTTACAGCAGCGAAGTCATGGGTTCCATCATGAAGCATGTCTAGACTCATTTTGCTTGGTTCATGGTCCAAAACACTCACGCACTGAGCAAGCAGTCTTCCAGGGGGAAACTTTCAAGTTTTAGGGTCTTGTGGCACAAGTTGTAATCCTAGCTACTCTAGAGGCTAAGACAGAAGAACACAAGTACAAGTACACAGTGAGTTCTAAGCCAGGCTATCCAACACATTAATGCTTTGTCCCAAATAGAAAGACAAAGTGCAGGAAGATGGTGTGGTGATGGGGTGTGGTCCAGCAGGACAATACTCCTAGCATGTGTAAGGCCCAAGGTTCAAGCCCTAGCACACCAGTAAGTGAGTAAGCAAATAGTTAATTAATTTAAAACTTCAGGTGACACACAGGCAGTAATTATGTGTATCACGCATGTCTACCCGATAGCATGGATGGTCCCCAAGGATACCTGGGAACCTATGAGGCATAAACACAGATGTTAAGAAACAAATTTTTACCACTGTTTATTTAACAATCTTATAAGAATGTTACATTCAATGAATTTACTTTTGCCTCCAACAACAGAGAAAAACAGTTTAAACCCGAAATTATCAAATCCTTTTCTGAAAACTATCAGGCAGGAAGTAGTTTAGGTTTTATAGCCCAGAAGGTCCCTGCTTGCCGCTGGACGCTGCTAAGGGATTCACACACAAGTAGCCATGGAGATGCCATGAAATGAAATTAACTACTCAAAAATGGAAGAACTGTTTTTATCTGTGGCCCTACAAAAAGAGGTACTAGGTCAACCTGTTTCACAATGGGCTATCTTAGAGATGAGGACAAAGTCAGGAATTCACTAAGAACTTCCCTAGCCCTTCTTTATGAACACCACTTAGAAGACAAGTTGGAATGCACAGTAGGAGAGACTGTATTCCTCCTCTGCTTTTTCCCGTTCCAAGAAAACTTACAAAATGCAAGACCCAGAAATGTCAGATTGAACAAAACGAAATCTAACCTGAGAAAACTTCAGACTTGCAAATAATACCTGCAAACAATTTTACACCACCTTATCACCAATCAATACAGCTTGCCTTCCCATTCTAAATGGCAGGGAGAATAAACCTGGACTACTGCCAATCTCCAGTGAGCTTGGAATACCACCTAATCGCTCACGCTATGATGTGAGCGGAACGCTTTTATTAGAATGCACTCACCCAATTGGTAAAGACGAAGACATACCATCTGATAACCTTCCCCTTTTTCCTTTAATTTGCATATGAATGTGGTTTATCCTTCTGTTCCTTATGCTTTCTGTAACATATTGCAACTTACTTTCTTAGGTATGTCATGGAATTTTAGGCACACAGAGAAAGAACAGAATATTAGCATCTAGACATGCTACTTATCCTTCAGAGAACTAGACCTAGACCTTTCAATCACTCTTTCCTAAACCACAAATGCCCAGAAAGCAATGTGTACAAAAAAAAAAAAAAAAAAAAAAAAAAAAAAAAAAAGGCCTTTGTCCAGACTGCAGCCAAACAGATTTCCAGTGGGGACAGTTTTCCCCCACCAGAGGCTATTTATAGCTAGAAGATGTCTGGGGACATTTTTTGATTGCTACAAATGGGGGACAAGAAGACAAGGAAACAAGTGGCTGCCGGTAGATACTAGGAAGACAACAGGGTACTGACAGGCAGCCTATGATGCAGAGCTAGCTCAAAGACAAGGAATTGTCAGACCTAAAAACATATCAGCAGCAAAGGGGTTAAAAAAAAAAACCTAGGTTGAAGAAGTGGCAAGGCAGCTGTGCAGATGTGATTCCTATGTCTCAGCATTGGCCTTTTCCTGAGGAAACACTATGTTAGAGTCGGAACTCTAACAGGAAACCCTGATGGGACTTACTATCTGACAGCACCTGAAACACTCTGTCCATTACTCTTACTCAACAGACAGAATGTATTCAAATCAAGGAATTTACCTGTATCCGGAGGTAATCAACACTCACTAAGGACGGGGTATGAGCTCCATTACAGGGCAGGCGATTCTCAAGGTCTGAATATGAACAAGGTTTCAACCATAAAACTAGCAGTATGGCTTAGGAAGGGGAATTGAAACCATTTAAATTCAAACGCTTCCCCCTCGTGATCGATCTATCAACAACTACAGAAAGAAGCAAAGTTCTCTCCTTTACAGACTCCTCTCCATGGTGCTACAGAAACAGAGTAACGAGCTGCTACCACATCAGAAACTGGACCACTAAGAAACAGGTTCCAGAAATACAGCAAACCCTTTATAAGTCAGAAGCCATAGCCCACCTGAGCAGTGACTGGCCTTTGGTTTTCTTACAGAGATTTCTATGGAGATAGAGAAACAAGCAAGGGAAACTGAGGTGCCTGAATGGAAAAAGCTGGAGACCAGGAGGGACCAGCAAGAATGGCCCCTTGGTCTTCTAGGTAAACATTTTAACATCACAAACACCAATAGCAAACGTGGTTAAAACACACAGAAGTGGTTGATTTCATCAGTGTGCTGTCCGTACTGCAGAATTTCCTTAAGGCTTATGAATGACTAGCAGAACAATCCCTTCCCAATAAATAGAACCTTAACACCTGTTATCAAATCACTTCTTCTGGTCTTGATCCAGGAACAATACATGCAAATCAGTTTTAAAAATAAAGCCTTTAGATCAGACACAGCCAGGGCATCTGGTCCAGCTTATTCTCAGAAGCCCAAGTGAGACCTGTGCCCCACCGAGGAGCCCCAGAAGACCACTGACCCTGGGAGGGGATATCCGGCGGTGACCCACTTCAAGATTTAGAAAGTTCTTGAACTTTCTAATCATGGTTGCCATCAAAGTACCATCCTTTCCCAAAAGCTCCTAGGTGTTAACCATCCCATCTCCGGAGACCAGACAGCTGTGTTGTGATCCCTAAACGAGCCCCTGCAACCACAGTTATTGTGGCCAATAAGGTGCCTGGTGGGGTGGGAGAGAACATACACCCCATATATCATACTTTAGACTAAATAATTTATAAAAACTAGAAAACAGCAGCTAGGACATGAAGGTCCTCACACCGACCGCTGTGGGTCCATTTTTATCAACATGTTCCGTGCCGTGCTGAAAACTTACTAGTGTGGTTTTGGTTGCGTGAGGGTGTTCGCTTATATGTAGGTAAGGTTTACATTGCATAGGCTGACCCAGGACACGTATCAGTACCCCTGCCTCAGTTTCCCAAGTGCTAAAAGATGGTACTGGTGTACCATCTTTAAACAGACTTCTGCATATGCATCTAGTTCCAAGGGTTTATTTAAGGCATCACAGTCCCTATCATATGGCTTTCAAATCAGCACTTCAACACATTTCCATTTTCTCGCTTGATAAATGTTATCTGAGCCCAAAGATCAAATCTGGACGTCACCTACACACCTTTCACCATTCCCGAACTTCTACAGAGAAGCTAACATCAGTCCGTATGTCATATGACATAATAAAGACATTCTCTGTTATACCAATCCTGACTCCTTGTTTTAATGCATGAAACTTGTCATTTTCCCTGGGGTACGCAGTAGCATCTATGTTGGAATGGCCAGCCCTTTCAGGGAGATCTAAGATTTCTCCATCCCATCTGCTCACACTCTCAGATCTTACATAAATCATTCTCACACATTAGGTCCCAGCCAACCTCTCTTCAGACTGGGGTTTCGTTTAGCTTTTGATGTTTTGATGTTTTATTTTGGGTTTTTTGATTTTGTTTTGTTTTTTCCTTTACTTTTTTTTTTTTTTTAAGCTGAGATCACTTAATAAACATGAGAATGTAGAAGAATGTAGAAAGCAGGCCACTGGCAGCCACACCCTCTGGCTTTAAAGTAGTTCTCCCCTTGGGAGAACTCTGGGGAAAGCCCTGGGTAGTTTCCCAGAGGCAGGCAGGGCTCTGGGGGGTGGGATGTGGGCGGAGCTGCCATGGGGCGGGGCTGACCAGGTGGCAGTAAACAAAGTTGCAAGAGTAAAAGTCCAAAGAACAGCACAGATTGCTCTCAGCCTAGGATGGTCTTAATACAGTTTGCATGGACCACACACCTTGAAGAAGGTAACACATCAAGTGAAAGAAACTAGAATATTGTTACACAATACCAGACACACATACACTGACAAAATGGGCACTGCTGAAACTCAAGAGTTCACCACCAAAAATCTGCTCAGGAAACAAGCTGCAACAGAGTTTTGCTATGTTTGGTATTGTTGTGCAACTAAAGTTAACCTATAGTTTAGATACAGAAAAGGATTAAAGAACCTACATGTTGGATGCTCTGCTTCGTTGTAATACTGTTTGGCTGTGGTAAGTTAAAAGACCTTCTGGGAAAACATAAATCCAAAGAGGTGGATGTTCCAGCCAAAGAACCACATCCATTATGCCTCGGGAATAAAAGTCACTTTTGGGTGGGGGTACGGGACAAGATCACAAGCTAAGGTGCCACCAGCAAGTTTGTTTCTGTTCAACACTGGTCTGGCAAAAATCAGACTAGAGTTCATTCAGGCAAGACAGCTTGGCGGCTCAGAGACTACACTCTAAGAGCTGCCTGTTCAAGTCCTAGATTTTGTCTGTGTGACCTTGGGCATGATAATGGCTCAGTTCCACACTAACTGAATGGCACTCCAGCTAATGCCAAACACATGATTCTCAGGCTTGCATGGGGGAAGGGGAGGACATTTATGAAGTCTATCCACTGGGAGATTCAGCGGCCCACCAATGCTTTCTACAGTGAAATCCAGATGAGAAAGAGAGGTACCACTCCAAGGCCTCTCTCCCTGTACAGAAGCCACCACTACAGCGCGGGCACTTCCGACGCCCACCACCACCACGACCACCACGGGTCCTACCACTCCAGGCAGGACTTCAACTTCTCAGTGAGCCAGGGGCTCATATAGAAATAGGAGCATTAACTGCTTAAGATTTCTCAGTAACTGAATGAGTCACTCACTGCTTTAGAAACAGAGGGGAATGTCAAGGGTACCAGAGAAGCCCATGCAGATGTTTGCATAAATCATGCTCAAGTGATCACCCAGCCAAAGCCAGAGGATATTATTATGATGTCGCTAAGTAAAAGGGTTCCTTTTTTTTTTTTTTTTTTTCCCCTGTCATGGAGGAAATTCTGGAAATGGGGTTAAGAGGATCACATTAAGTTCAACTCTGAAATTACAGAGACTGTGGAAAAAAGCTCAGAACTCCTGGGCTCTGGCAGCATGGATTTACCTGCTGTTACTCTGTTTACTTCAGCCCTCATCAACAGGCCTGGTGCAAACTCCAAGTTCCAAATTTAAAGGCAGCCAAAAGTGCTTGCTACATGTTTTCTCTATCGAACTATCTAGGGAAAGCAGAAGTTTGGAAACATCTGTCTGCAGCCAGGCTCTGAATTCCACTCTGGACCACTCTGGAGCCTCTGGACCAAAGACAGGGTCCCTAAGTCTTCATTTCAATTTCACAATACTCCGAGTAGAGCATGTACTTCAATTTCAGTTGACTAGCCGTTCACCCTAGCATAGCAGAAGGAACGTCAGTCACTTAAACCGTGACAGAAAAAAAAAAAAAAATTTAAACATCAGCCTTATTCGAATAGGTCATGGATTTCTCTAGTCGATGAGTTGTTAGCTTGTCAATATTTGGATTCTTCGGAGCTCTCCGCACTGCATCTGCTTTCAACAAAATGTGTGCACGTCAACAGCAAAGAGCTATAAAGGCCACTGGCAATCGCTGCGTGGCAACCTTCCCATTGCGTCGATTTGTTTATTTTTAGTAACTTTTCCTGAAAGGCTTGGGTGGGTCGTTTCAACTCCTTTGCCAGTTTGACCACCCCGCAAAGAACTGAGCGCCGCACAGCTTCCAGCAGGGGTATAACACGCGCTTCCAGGCTCTGCTCCAAATCAGTCCTATGTAACAGCTGAAGAATGACGACACTAAAATCAACGCTACTATCCACATCCAAAAGGGCTGCAACAGGAAATAAACTTTTTTCTCTCTTAAGAGACAGTGAAGGGGAACGGGGGCGGGAACAGAAACCTGTTTTTTTAGGTGGGCTGGGGGTCCTGCGCTTGGGCTGTGCGCCGTGGGGTCTGAGCAGCCTCTGGCAGCTTAACCCTGAGCTAGCCGAGGGGGCGACCCACAGCGACACTAGTACCGCGCCGGTTCCCCGCCAGCAGGTGCCGGTGACCACTTCCACAGGCCCGGGTGCGAATGCCGGAACAAGGCCACTCCTGGCCAGCGCGAGGCTGTCACCGAACGACGCCCAGCCAGCACTTTGCGAACTCGGCGGTCCGAGCGCGGCACAGCCTGGACCGGATGAGGGTCAGCCGGGTCGCCGGGTGTGGCCTCACCTTGCCCCGGCCCCGGGAGTCGGCGGGAAGAAGTGAGAGCCCCCAGGCTAGCCCCCCAGCCCCGCGCCCGCTGCCAGGTGCTTACCTGCGGGAAGGAACCCTCCTGGCGCGGGCCGCGAGGGTAATCCAAGTGACCCCTGTCCAGCATCAGGTACAGTGAGAAAATCACTACGCAGAAGATCGCGCTGCCGAACACGGTGAACCGGCGGCTTAACTTCATTTTTCCTCGATAGACTCGGGGCCAGGACGCGGTCCACACACGCCAGAGGCGGAGGACGGGGGACTCCGGCCGGCGGCCGCCGAGGGCTCTCTGCTCCGGGCTGCACACCCTTGGCGCTCTACCGTAGCGCGGGTCCCGGCCGCGCTCCGCACCTCGTCTCCAGAGCCACCACGCGCCCTCGGCCTACGCCCTGGCCCGCTGCCTTCCCCGGGGCTGGCGGCCCCCGCGAGGCGGACTGCTGAGCAGCCAGGAACGGATCTCCACAAACTTGCTCTCCCGCTGGAGACCGACACCCGGCGGGGCGCGCGGAGCCGGCGGAGGAGAGGTCGCTGCCCCGACTTCCTGCCACCGCCGCCACGACTGAGTCGGCAGGAAAAGTTTTCTCGACAAGGGCAGGCGTGTCCCCCGCGCCCAGAGAACGCGCGGGCTCCGCGGCTCCAGGGCCGAGCGTGCAGCGCTGGGAGCGAGGAGCGCGCCGAAGGAGGAACTGGACCTGGACGCGCCGTGCCCCACAACTTAGCGCCGGGACACCCAGGCCCGCCCCCGCCACACCGCCCCCGCGCCCCTGCCGGAGCCCCTTCCCGCCGCCGCTACTGCGGGGGCCCGGCCGGGGTGCACCCTGGGCTCCGGGGCGCTGCGATCCAGGACTTTCCACAGGGTGTGTGTCCGGTCCCCGGCCTCTCCCGGTCCCCGGCCGCCCCTACCTTCCCCCTCCCGGGCCCGAGCTGCACGCGGAGGGCGCAGGGGGCGGGCGGCGCCGGGAGGAGGCAAAGCAGAGCAAGGAGAGGACGGTCCCCGGAGAGGAGCCCGCTCCAGCTGCAGCCGTGAGCACCCCCTCCTTCCCGCCCCGAAAACGCGGAGATGGCGGCGGCGGCCACGCAAGCGAGAGCCGGTCCCCCAGCGCCACTCGGCGCTCCAGTAGCGCCCGCCACGAGCTGGAGGAGACGGCAGCGGCGGCCGTTGGGTCAATAGGCGCCCGGAGCCCTGGAGCTGGGCGGCCGGCTGGCCCCGCCCCCTCCCGACGCGCCGGGATGAGGGGGCGGGCCCCCTGGCGCCCAATCACAGCGCGCCGCCCGCCAGGCCCGCCCAGCGCCTGCCTCACTGGGCCCTGACAGTAGGAAGACCTCCAGAGGCTTCAGTGACAGGGGAGGTGGCTTTGCAGGAATTGAGGCCAGCAGTAGGGTGCTTCCAAGGCCCCAGCAGCCAGCCGGCGTTCCAGAGCGCCTGTGCCTCATTCCCCAAATTCCATCCTCTGCTCGGGTCCTCCGTCCTGGAACACCCAGACCAGCCGTGCCTTGGAAGGGCCGGCGAAGGGCTGTAAGGAAAGGTGGTCAAGGTATCTGAGGATCCTGTCTGGACTCATCTCCTCTTCCTCTTGCTTTCGGCGTCCTCCCGGTGAAGCCTGGGCGCAAAAGAGGCTGGCGAGGCCTCGTGCAGGCAGATGTAGACATCTGTCGACCAAATCTAGTGAGAGGGGTTAGAGAAAAGCTTGGGCCGGCTATTGAATTATAGCCTCTCGGCTCCAAATTCACGAACCTTTTCCCACTGCGCCGTGAAAATGAATCTGGGCCCTTGGAGTGGGTTTGTCTTCTCCTTCTGGGACGTTTTGTCAGTAGAGGGTGCTGAAGAGACATTACAGGAAATCAAGGAACTTGCTTCCTGGTTCTGGTATATCTGATAAGCAGTTTCTCCTAGCATATACCTACCTGACTTGTTCAAGTCCAAACTCCTCCGTGGCCCAGAGTTTTGTAATGGTGTAAAGGCATGGACAGCTTTCCTGGCGCTATCTAGCAACAATGTATAGCAAGTTCAGGAGACAGCATCACAGTGACCTCTGTCCTTCAATCAGACTTACTGCAGCTGCCGTGAAATCTCTATGTAGCCCTTGCCTGGATGTGCAGGGCCTTTTGGGGGCCCTTCATCAGCTCAAGAGATAATCACAGGGTCTGCACTCCAAGGCTGCTGTCTATATTCTCTCTGGTTTTCTTCTTGCTAGTGAATCCCTCGTTATTTAAGTCTTCTCCATTAGAGTTAACAATTTGTTTTATTAAACCTTCAGTGTCCAGGAAATAGTCCCCAGAGATAGACCTGCGAAGATAGGATTTAAAGGTCAGATTGACTGACCTTTTCCTAGAGTGCTTTGCCAAAAGAAAATAGAATGATAATTTGGGTCATGAAGAGCACCTCAGTTAATTAAGCAATCACCTGTGGTTGACTCTGATGAAATGCCAATGAAGCAAATACCTGGGGGTATACACTAGGAGATGGCTTGACTCCATGGCTACAGAAGGGACTACCAGGACAATGAGGGAAAACGCTTTGGCACACTTCTGAATGGTTATAGAGAAACGGCAAGCCCAGGTCCATCGTCTCTACGGTATGAGGATCAAAGGGAGTCCATTAGGATTCTAAGAGAACCCCTCTTGCAGCAAACGAGAATCGCGTAACTGAAGATCAGATGCTCTATTTTGGTTTTGGAGTGGCTGGCTCGTGTTAACTGTTGAATTCACAGACATGACAAGTTGTGGGGGGAGGTTTTTTTGTTTTGTTCTGTTTTCTTTCTTTTTTTTTTTTTTTTTTTTTTTTTTTTTTTTTTCCTCACTGGTGAATGATAAAATCCTGGAATTTGGAATGAGCCAGCTCCAGATGAACCAGCAGCCTTGCCCTGTTTGCCCCGCCCTGCCCTGTTTGCCCCGCCCTGCCCTGTTTGCCCCGCCCTGCCCTGTTTGCCCCGCCCTGCCCCAGCACTTACTTGGACACCACTCTATGCTTCTCTTCCCCAGTACAAGCAGGTTGCTGCTCTGAGGCTAGCACGTTAGGTTTTCTTTGCTCAAAAACCTTGTCATTTTGGACTGGCCAGATGGCTTAATGGTTGGATCACTGGCTATACTTTTAGAGGACCTGGGTTCTGCACCCACATGGCAGCTTACAACCATCTGTAAATCCGGTAACACAAGGGAATTTGGTACCTTCTGATCTCTTGGGACACCAGGCATACATGTACATACAGATGTACAGGCAGAACAACCATATAATGAAAACAGTTCATTTTTTTTTAAATCTTGTCCTATTTAAGGTTTGGGAGATTTGTGCATATGTATGTTTTTCTAAAATACTCATCTTTCTATGAAATCCACCGGAAGTGGCTGTCCTCATCAGGGGCAGATTCCTTGACATGGAGTTTGTACCTTTCTCAAATACCAACCAATCTGCTTCTGAGCTGCTAACCTGAGACAATGATCACATTTTAGGGTGTGCTCTTGTGGGATAGGATGGAGCAATAAGTCACATACCAAAACAACTAAGATTGTGTCTAGTAGATGTTGGTAGAAATCTGGGAACCATATATAAAAATGGTTCCTAAGAGTTTCAGACCATGAGAGATAAAATGTAACACTAGATATGGTCAAAACATATTGCTACTCTGGGCTGGAAAGATGCTTCAGTGGCTTAGAGCATTTGTTGCTCTTACACAGGACTTGGGTTGTGTTCCCAGCAATAATGTGACAACTCGGAACCCAGTCTAACTCAAGTTCAGAGGATCCTATGCTCTCCTGTGGCCTCTTTGAGCATTGCACGCATATGGCACACACACATACATGCAAGCAAAACACCAATATGCAGAAAATAAAAATAAACAAATCGTTTTTAATGTAGTTGTACTCTTCGGCATTTATCTCCTGCAGCTAGAGGTGATTTGACTAATGGGCAGATCAGGAGACTGAGATGCCCGAGATTCATGACAAGACATGGAAACGCTAAGACAAAGATTTAGAGAAAAACAAATATTGTGTTGGATTTATCAACAAACCCCTCCCCCAGCTGGCTCCACGCCAAGACACAGGAGGCACATCCTTCACTGCTGTGTTGAGAAAGACACCAAATGTCTCTGTGGGCCAGGTATGACAGTAGACAATGGCACAGTTCAGCTGGCCTCACTGATTTACATGAAGATGTCAGGATCCCAGAATAGCAGAAGCCGAGCAGCACTTAACCAGTAAGTAGCAGATTATCCAGGCTCAGAGATGTCTTTAGAACATGGACAGCTTTCTGTTTTTAACACATAAAGCTCTAGACCAGTTAGCCAAACTCTGACTTTAGTTGCCACAATAGAGAGACAACCTTTCACTTGGTTTTCAGACCTAAATCAACCCACAGACTTGGAGTCATTTGGTTGGCCTTGTAGGAAAGACCTTGTACTATAGTCACAATACACAAACAAAAGGGCATGCCGCTGTGCAGGAGGAGGAGGTATGCTTAGGGACTGTGCATTACCAAATTTCAAATGAAGCCATAAAATTGGAGCCCTAATCCAATCCAAATGAGGTCCTTCCCTATAAGAGAGAAACACGCTGTAAGATACAAGATGTACCCCATGACTACCTAATGAAACAATGAAAAGGAGAGCCAGCTCTAAGCCATGAAAGACAACCCAGCCCTGCTGACACTGGTTTTGGACTGCTTTCCTGAAGACTCTGAGAAAATAAGCTTCTGTTATTTGCCACACCCTGTCTTATTGTGACAGCCTTGGTGTACACACTGGTCCAGAAAGCAGACACCCACCTGGTATATAGTATATAAAGAAATCATACAACGGGGGGGGGGGGAACAAATTGAATAGGGACCTGATAAACATTTTTCCATAGAAATATAAATGCCGGTAGCTGTAGACGGATTTTTCTGTCCCTCCTGGACTCGTAGCCATTTAGGCCCAAATAAACACACAGAGGCTTATATTAATTATAAACTGTTTGGCCAATGGCTTCTTATTGGCTAGCTCTCTCTCTCTCTTAATTAATAACCCATTTCTATTCATCTGTGTATCTCCATGTAGTCTTAGCTTACCAGAGAATATCTGGACCTGTTACTCCTTGAGGGCTAAATGGAGTCTCTCTGGCAGCTCCTCTCTGTTTTCCTTCTCCCCAGACTTCCCTGAAAAGTGAAAATAGAACTCCCTCGTCGCCCAGCAATACTACTGTGTGTGTGGGGGGGGGGGTAGGTGTGTGTGTGTATATACAATTTACAGTCTACAAGCAGCTTGTCTTTCTGGCAAATTAATTTATATCACATCAATTGTGATTTACTCCACTAAGATATTTTACTGTAGTATCTTAGCTATTGAGAATATGATATCTATTAAGACGCAATTTGACTCTAGAAATGTCCAGAGACCTACAAGACTG